CATTGTGTGGGTACAGTCAGGGCATCGCTCTTGCTCCCCAAAAAGCAACAGTTTAAGAACAGCACTGCTGAGAGTGGCTTGTGGTTGGACTTGTGTTATTTTGGGGAGCTTCCACATGGCTGTAGGTCCCTCCTGTCCCTTGAGTGGTTTCAGAGCCCGTGAGCAGCAGTCCCGAGCTCTGCTGGGGTTCATTTATGCGCTGATGCTGTGCCTGCCATCCTGGCAGCAGAATCACCCAGGGCTTGGAGGGGCAAAGGGAGTGGGCAGAGAGGATGGGAGGGTTCTCTCTCCCCCTTCTTGGCTCAGGCAGCAGTGTGGCTGCAGTGCTTGAGTGATTCTATTCCAAAAGTTACCAGCTTTTTGGAGAAGCCTTGTCCTGATGGTGTTTCCAGGAAATTTTTGGAGGTGAGGAAAGGAGACGTTGGAAGGTTGATTGTTCTCCACGAGAACTATGTGCAGGACCCAAACCCGTGGAGTTGGACCTGTGTGGGAGGAGGGATCTGCTCAGTGTGGGAGAGCTGTTCACATCCTTTGTTAGGTATAATCACAGGTTAGTCAGGATGGGGCCAGTCTCTGCTGTCCAGCACACACAGTCCTGATTCCTCATCCCTCCTTGGGTCACCAGGTCTGTAACTGGCCCCTGGGGTGCATGGATGATGCTTGGGGGTTTTCCAAAGCAAAGCCTGGTATTTGAAGTGGAAATGGGACAGGGGGAGGAAGGGACATCAGCAGGCACCTGGCACAGGTAGGATGTGCTGAGAGTGGCCACAGAGGCTGGGACTCAATGCTGGCATTGCCAGACCCTGCCATGGACCTTCCAAGGTGTTCCTGCAGGAAGGATGGCTCCGGAGCCTTGGGCTCCTCCAGGTAACGCAGGATTGAGCTCGAACTCTGCTTTTCTTCTTCCTCCCTTTGTGTTCTTTTCGCTTTTTCCTCCCCGCTGCTTCTTTCCTCTTTTGTCCAAAGCCCTTTGTTTTCTTCCCCTTTTCCTGCTCCCGTTTTGCCAGTTCCTCCTCATCCCAGCTCCAGGAGCAGGCAGAGCACTGCTGGGACATTTGTGGCACCACCTGGACACGGTACATTTGCAGTGGGGTGTCCCAGGGTGTCCTTGGCCATGCTGTGCTCAGGGAACTGCAGCTCCCCTGAGTGCCATGAAATCCCCCGTCGGCAGTAGGGTGACAGGGACACCGTGTCTGGAATGCCAGAGGTCTGAACTGTGCGGTGTCAGACAAACCAGCATGGGAACGTGCCCGGTGCCGTCCCTGTGTGCTGCTCTGGCAGCACCCACGGGGATAGAGGCAGCAGAGGAGCAAGGGAGGGGAGCGGGTGGGGAAAGGGAAAGAAAAGGTTCCCGGCGGGGCTCGGCGAAGCAGTTGTCAGCTCTTTGTCGGAGCTTCATTCCCCCTGGAGCTGCAGCTGGCACCTACCTGTGCGGCGGGCACGTCCTCGCTCCTCGGGGCGGTCTCGGTGGCCCTGATGCAATAAGGGACTGTCCCCGTGTCTCAGAGTCCAGGCTGGCTGAGGTCCCACCGTGCCCCTGCCATCCTGGGTAGCTGCCATCCCGTGCCCTGCCACACTGCCAGGGCACTGCGAGGATTCACGGAGCTGGTGGCTGTGCAGCCAAGGAATGCAGACAGCTCTACACACGATGGTGCAGATAATTTAAATTAAATTTTAATCCAGCATGAATTAATACTGTGGCATTAACAATTCTTCATCAGTACCAATTACAGTACATTAGCTGCTACTGCTGGAGAGCACAATAGTCTCTAATATGCGTCATTAATGTGTAACAGATCCCTCTGGGTCATGCCTTACCCACCCTAGATAAAAGCAGCAATGGAGGCGGGCAGGGATTTGCAGCCAGTGCCCCCCTTTGGGGCTGGCTCTTACTCCAGGGCTATCATGGTCCCAGTGGCACCGTGATCCTGTGGCAATGCTGCTGGGGTTGGCAGGGGCCCCTCCAGCCTCACCCAGGGTCAGGTTTAGCACTGCCACCTGCAGAGCCCCTCTCCCAGCTGAGCACAGTGTCCTCATCCATCCACAGAGGCCAGAGGCTCTCAAACATCTGGAGGATGGCAATGGTGGTGTGCAGGTAGGCTGGAACCCAGAGTCCTCCTTTTTCCCTTCTCCTGATGCACCAGCCCAGCAGACTTGGTGAGTGGGAAGGAGGGGAGATGAGGCTGCCCTGGTGTGGGGTACAGCAGCCTGGGGTGAGTCCACACTGGGCCATGGCATCCCCCCATCCACCTGCCACCACAGCTCCGTTTGCTGGGGCTCTTTTCCCCAGGGCCAAGGGGAAGAGCTGGTGATTCATCTGCCTGCGCCATGCAGACGTGGCAATCACAGAGAAACCCAGTGCTGGGGAAAAAAGGGACTTTTCTTTTTAATGGTATGGTAAGAGATGGAGAGGAACCGAGAGGAACTGAGATATGAGATGAGATACGAGATGCAATACTGTGGTCCTGCCCACAGTGACTTGGTGGCCACCAGGGGCTGGCAATGGCTCTGGCCTTGTGCCAAGGACCAGGCTGCAGCCAGGGTAAGGGCTCACATCTTGTGGTGTCCTTGCTGGGAGCAGCACCCACAGGTGAATCATGTGGGAATGGGCACAGGCACAGGTCCCTGCATATGATCCCAAGAGCAGCTCACAGATGGAGGTGGTAGGTGCCCAGTGCCTATAGTGATGGCCCCCAGAGCTGGCACAGGGATGGTGACAGGCATTGTGCTGTCTTCCCCTCTCCAGGCAGCGTCTGCAGGGCGAGATGGCACGGTGGGCACTGGCACTGGCACTCTGCCTGTCCCTGTCTGCAGTGGCATCTGCCGACTGTGTCACCCAGTGCTCCCTCTGCGCAGCCCAGAGCCGCGGTGCCGAGAGCAGCGTCCAGCCCCTGGTGAGTGCCAGCCCCACGGGGACGTGAGCCAGGGAGCCACAGCAGTGGAGTGTCATGGGTGCGGGGTGGCAGAGCTGGGTGGCACCTGGTGTGCTGGTCATGGGCACCCCAAGGTGCTGGGGTTGTGCAAATTTGGCTTCTCACCGAGCTGAGCAGCACGGTGGGCATGGACCCCTGGGCTCGGGGTGGGGCGGGAGGAAGGCAGGGGCTCACCCCGAGCACCTGTGGCTGCTGTTTTACAGATGTGCCTGTGGGAATGCCAGGGCTCCTTGTCACCCGGCCCCGAGTGGGAGATGTGCAGGAAGGCGCTGGCGCTCCTGGCCCCACTGGTGGCCCTGGCCGAGGGGACAGAGCCATCCCCACAGGAGGCAGAGGAGGATGAGGCAGAGCCAGAGCAGGCTCTGGGCGCTGCAGAGCTGCCACCAGCGCCGGCCAAGCGCTACGGGGGCTTCATGAAGATGATGTCCAAGGCGAGGCTGCTGTCCCTGCTCCGCGAGAAC